GGAAGACTGGAAGAAACATAAATAAGGACAATTATACTCATGTATCTAGCCTTTCCTTACTCGCGCTCAATTCAATCCATTCAACCTGAGTTACTAAGATACTTACTTTGGGGGTCAGTAAGACTTCTTACTACTAGTGGTATACTTCGGTATAGCTCTAGTAGGCGTTGCCTCTGACCTAGTCGTTATCGTTCTTGTTCACCTGAAGCACCCCTATCGTGTATCTTTGCGAGACCCCATTATATCGCGAGAAGTCGTTCGAGGAAGAGCCCTTCGCCAGGTAGGCCGTTGTCTCGAGGAAGAGGAGACCCGGGTCGGTTAGACCGTCGCGTGCTCGTGAACGACACAGAGTCAAGAAGACTCCTTGATCCTTCCCTAACCACCATCGTTAAGTATCGACGACTACGGTTGGACCCAACGCGTAACACTAGCCTTCTACTACTCGCACTCAATTCATTCGATTATCACTCGTTAACGTAATCTAGAACCTAGTCGGACAAATGGCCTAGTCAGACACTTCCCTACCATCATACAGCTTCACAGTCAAATTTCACCACAACTATATAGAGAAATCATCTAATTACATTAAGAACTATTTCTTGTATGCTAGGAGCATATATGGGCAGTATGCCTAACTGTTCCACATATACTGCACTGATATGCAGCACCTTTTTGTAGTCTTTCCTCAGTAACCTTAACTACCCTACTCTCCTCTTTATTAGCTCTTTGTACACGATCTATCCCTTCTTTAATAGTTAAAGCATCTTCCTGTCCTATATATGTATAGTGCCTCTCTTGCTTTCTCTTTTGCTTCTTATTTGCAGCCTTCAGTACCCTATTTTCTGCTGCTAGAATAGCAGCACTGTGCATGGACATACAACATCCCTTAATTAGCTGATTCAGAGCTTAATTGGTTGGACTGGATGGACCCTGCATGCACTGCTGCATATATCCCTTAACCTTCTCAGCCTGGAGCTCCACTTGGCATATATTATGTGGTATGGCCGTGACCCAAGAGGCTTGGGAACTATGGGAGGTTCCTGGGGGGGTTAGTATACATATCTGGGTATTAAGATGTGAAAGAACCTGCTCTGGATCATATGGAACTAATCCAGTAGCTCTAAACCCACTCTAGATGTTTCCTTTACTCAGGGCTGTTGTACAAATTGAAGAATATATGGTTAAGAACTCATCCTTATCAATATGGTTGATGCCAAGCACCATACTCTTCTGAACATGTTGTCTATATGCTTGCTTTAAGGGGGAGAAACAGCTGACATCTAGTGGCTACAAGAGATAGGAGGAGTGTAGTAGCATATAGAGAGGGATGATAGAGTTCTCTGTATAGAACTGGTCAAATTCAGGGCCACTATAGCTGCCATGTCTATTAAGAATTAAGAGTCAATATTAGCCAATTGTACAAGACTGGGTGTGCTTGTTAAAAACTTTTTTGAGCCAGAATAACCCTAGTTCCTTGTTGGTCCACCCATTCTTACTGGTCCCAATTGCCCCCCCCATATGGCAATCCCTCAGTCTGATACTAGGAAGGCTAATGGTTCTTGCCCTTAAGGATGAACGTTAGTAGCAAGAACTAACTACTAGCATTAACTCCCTCAATCATAGTGACCCATTCTCAGTTCCTAGGCTGTATCATATTTGGACAGAGGTTCTTTTTAGAGCCAGTAACTACCCTAGTTGTTACAATAATCCCCATTAGAAAGCCCACCTCATCACAGTTATATGTATCCTTAGGTAGGATGCCATATTTCTCTATTATGTCCTGAGCTAAAACCATTCTTAAATAATCTTAGGATCTTCACATAGGGCTTGCCTGTAGTTGTACTTATATAAAAATTTAGATTTAAGCTCATTGCATCTCATGAAACCATTTACCTAGTATTTGCTAACTATAGATAGAGTAGGGGATTTATTGCATTTAGCAAGAAGGACATTTGCCATTTCTTATACAGTTATAACTCAGTAGGGGCTTTCCTTACTCATCTATAGATAGTATCTACTAGGTAAGAGTTATTTCTTTAGTAACAGATAGTTTTTGATTCCTTTTCTAGGCATGCTCTTACATCATATGGTCTTTCAATTGATCATGTAATGTAGAATGGGGAACATCATATAATACAGAAGCTTTTTGCAGACTTAAGACTTGACCCTTCTTATATGCTTAAAGAGCCAAAAGAATCTTTCCTTCCTGATTGGAAGCTTGTGGGAGTCTTGAGGTAGGCATTTTTGTTGATGGGAGTAGAGGCGCATAAGCGTGGTGAGAAGTGTCCGACTAGGCCATATGTCCGACTAGGTTATAGATTACGTTAATTATTTAAAGACCTTGTCCTCGCGGATAAGGCGATTATTAAGCTATTTACGGATACCGCGGAGCTCCTGTTCGATAACCTTTGGGCTAAAGGAAACGTAAAAATAAAAAATAGAAACAAAAACAGACATCCACCGAAAATCACCGAGTCAACAAGATCTCCGAGAAAATGCGACTACAGTGTAAAAATAAACATTCCAACTTACGCTTCGAAAGCTTAACTTATGAGGAGACTTATTACTTCAAAATGGATGACGACCTGGTATTAGGCATCTCTCTACCTTCAGTGCTGCTGCAGACGAAGCACAGAAGTGCTCAATCCCTACAATGGCTGCGTGCGTCAACAACTTGATCGCCAAAGTTGCTGCTGGACAGCTATGCAAGGTATTATAGAGTAACGGGTCCAATGCATTCATTCATTCATAGTTCTCTAACGTTATGTTATGTCCTAGGCCTTTGGCATTCGACTTTATCCGAACCCCCAAGTAGTTCAACTCGCTAAAAATGCCGGGTTCGATTCGCTTTTCATCGACCTAGAGCACTCGACATTATCCGTTGACGATGCAAGCCAGTTATGCTGTGCCGGGATACTTGGGGGAATTACGCCCTTCGTTCGAGTCCCATACCAGTGCGGCAATGGTTTGATCCAGAGAGTTCTTGACGGGGGTGCGATGGGGGTTATTTTCCCGCATATACATACGGCCCGTAAGTATCACACACATCATCAGGCTTCACACTGAGATTCCAGGGTTAATCGTGTGGGTGTAGAGGACGCCAAAGCAGCCGTAACCATATCAAAATACCCACCCCTGGGCACCCGGTCAATGACAGGCCAACTGCCCGTCTTCTCGCTGAAACCAACACCACCGGACCAAGTCATCAAAGAAAGCAACGCATCCGCATCATCGGTCATCCTAATGATAGAAACCAAGGATGCCATTGAGAGAATCGATGAAATTGCCGCGGTCGATGGCGTCGACGCACTCCTGATCGGATCAAACGACCTCGCCATCGAATTAGGTGTACAGGGTGGCTTTCAGACGGCTGTTTTCGGTTCCGCGTTGGAAGCGGTCAGTAATGCGTGCCGGCGACATGGGAAGATCATGGGTTTGGCGGGGATATATGATAATTATGAAATTCAGAATTGGGCGATTAATACGCTGAACGTTCGGTTCTTGCTGTGTCAGCAGGATTCGGGGCTTATTGCTGGTGGTGCTGCGAAGTGTATTGCTGCATTGCCCCGGGTTGAAATGGTTAATGGGGGCAGTGTTAGGTAGTTTCTATGGGGTTGTTGAGCTAGGTTCATCATGACTTGGTTAGATCAACAATGTCAGGATAAGTTGATTTTGGAACAAAAGAAGACATCTTCAAGCCTTCGTCCTCTTATTATATTATATACCCTAGCCCCGTATATTTCTTTTCTAAGAAATAACACTATGTCAACTATTTATATATAGATACAAACAAACCCTAAAAAAAAGGTTATTTATCTCATTTATAAACTCTATATTACATAAACAATTATATTAGATAGGATATTATTTTTAATTATATTGTTATATAGTGTCTAATAATTAAATATATATTCTAAAAAAACTAATTATAATAGTTTAATAAATCTTTAATCAAGATATTAGTTTTTAGATTATAATTAAAAAAAAACTATATTAAACTGAACTATTTATATTTATTACTCTAATTCTAGTTTCTGTAGTAAAACCACCTACTAGTACATACACTGGGGTCCCGTAACGCGTACTAGCCGTGGAGTGAATGAGCCACGGCTCCACGTGCCGCTGTCGTGGCGATTGCATGTCAGAGGAAGTTGTCTTCCTGCTGTGCAATGAAGTGATATCCACACGGAGGGGATCAGGGGGGCGAAAGCCCAGAGATGATATTGTATAACGATTCTAGTTTGACCGAAGCCGATGCGTTGTTCATTTCGGGAGAAGCAATTGACCGAAATGCTCCGAAATACTCCGTCTCCGACTCGGCTGTCTGCTGTCTGTCTCCCGTGATAAATATTCTTGGAAGGACGAGGAGGACTCTGTTGCGAAGCGTATAAACTGGTGCATAGTCGCTAGAAAAGATGGTAGCTTCATAACGGCATGGCAGATTGAAATCACAAGGAGAATAGTGAAGTAGAGACTTGTTTCCAGTAACCCTACATAAGATTAATGTCAAACGATCAACCAAATCCGTCTTCGGATATCCTTGGAAGCCGCTACCAGGAAGGATGATCGAAGGTATTCTGTTAGCAAAGGAGAGCCTTGGAGACAAAGATAATAGAAGATCCGGTTGATTGCTATGTCTTGCGTGTTTAATAAAATAAGACGCGAGAGAAGAAAGACTAGATACATGCTTGGTAGAGAGGGTCCTTTTATCTTTTTCCCTTTCATATCACCGCTCTGATCGGTTTCGGTCTCCCGTTGTTCCTCATATCGCTGATATGATCGGTCGGATCATCTTTTGTCTGCTTGCAACGTCACTCCTGCTCTTATCCTGACCGATTGGCTGTTATTGCACTTCTGTGACAATTAACATCAAAGACCCATCTTCTCGCGTACAAGCTCCTTAATCGCCGTCGCCTTCTTGCTCAACGCGCCAGAGCTACCGTTCTGGCGTCTGACTGAGCTGAGCAGCAAGGCGACGGCCTTGTCGCGAGCCACCATGGCCCCGCGTCCGAGGTGGTCCTCGATGTCGTGTAGGACGTCGAGGAGCATACGGACCGCCGTGTGGATCTGCTGCAGCGCAAGGGCTGCGTCTGCGCAGGGGAGCTCGCTCAGCCGCAATGCCGAGCCCCCTGTCGCTGTCGCGCTGCTTATGGGACTTGTAGCGCCGGTCGTGGTGGGCATGCGGGTCAAATGTTTCCAGAAATGGCCCATGACGACGCTGTAGACGCGCACTAGCCACATGTAGCCGCACATGAGGAGCAGCATCGACGGTGTGTCTGCTGTGTCTGCTGCGGCATTACTGTTTGTCTTCCTGCCATCCTCGTCTCCGTCCTCGCCTTCGCGGCCCTCCTCGAAGGTTCGACTGACGCAGACGGTGCTGCCGATGACGGGGCCAGCGATGGCGCAGAACTGCTGCGATAGTTCAAGAACGGTGCCGACGGGGTAGTCGTCGAGGCTGCGCGCGCTATCAGTGTGCCACGGTCCTTCCTCTAGCTTCTTCAGCTGTTGGTGGATCTCCAATACGAGGGCGGTTAGTCGCTGCTCAGTTAGGACGGCGTTGATGCTGGCCGTGTTACTATTGTTACTATCTGTCGGCCAGCTCGCAGCAGCAGCAGCCGGCGGGCTGGCCATCTGTGACCACGGTGGGAGGTCGAATTCGAATTCGGCTAGTTCGAACGAGTTTCCGTCGTCCAGGGCGCCAAACCCGGGCTGCAACCAGTCACATTCGGACCTGTTCGAAGGGAGGCAGTGCAGCTCCAGCCCCGGGGCAGGGCTGTCCCACGTGTTGGGCTGCGCATGGCAGGAGGATCCGGGGTCGAGTATGGGCTCGTCCAGATCGGTATCCGGAGTCGGGACGGGACACGTGGATGATGATACTGATGCTGATGTCGTTGCCGATCCCGATCCCGAGCTGGGTGGCTGGGTCATCGGAGGATTACTCTGCTGGACGGGACGGCTTGGCGGGCGTATCGATGCCTGATCGACACGTCTGTTTGTACGCTTCGAAGGAACCCGTCGGCCAAAGACGCAAGGCACTCGGGCGCGCATGCAGCGCTGGCAGGCCCCCGAACCCGCGGGAACGGAGCACTTGAGCTTCTGGGTACGACACCGGTCACAGGACAGCCTCAGGGACAGAATGGGGCTGTCTCCGCCGCTGGACCCGGCACGAGGAGGCATGAGGAAGGCATGAGAGAGGAGGGGCAGAAAAGCTTGGGAGGGAGAAAAGCTCCTGGCATTGCTTGAAAGGCTCCCGTACCTGGCCCTTGGCAGGCGGCCGGAGCCTATTATATAGGCTCCATAAACGAGGTCATCTGTCTATCTGAAGCTTGTTGGTTGCAAATAAACCCCAACTGTCATGTCATGACCTTCAGGCCCCCCTACAAGCCCCGGGAAGTAAACTATTAGGCTATGCATAGTATAGTTCGGTGCTGGCTTAACTACGCCTGAGGCGCAGTTATTGTGGTCTTTTTGGTGCAGTGGCACAGAGATCCAGCGCGCGTGCCTATTAGCCAGCTAGGTGCTTGACACCAACAGCCTAAGGACGTGCAGAACACGCGGCTCGTAGTGTGGACCCTGCCGGCCCGGAAAGCTGAGCACTTAGCAGCGTGGAAGCTTATCGGTTCGCTTTCATGGCCGCATTATATTAGCGGCCAATTGGTGCGAGAAGGAGTCGAAGAATCTCATCGGATTGAACGGCCATCTGTGGGGACCTGGTCAGCCCAGGAAAGTTCCGAAGAACTGAGTTGTTTGAACAGGAGAACCCGGGAAACCCCCTGACGTAGGGCCCACGAATCTAGCTCTCCAAATGTATCAATTCTCTTCCGGTAGGAACTTGAGAAGTTGAGATCCTCTATTTCGTCGGTGGGCTGATTCTGTCCTGCTGGACTTCGGTAACAGCCTGAGGCTTCGCATGTCACATGCACTGCCTCAAGACGCATGAGGTGCGAGAGTTATGCGTTATTTATCACGCATAGCTGCTTCCAGTTCTCCTCGTATATAGTTAACTATACCTAGGTATAGTTAACTATATACCGGTGTCTAGTCTAGAACCTCTTACGTTCCAACTGCTGTTTCGACACACGGTGACTGTAATGTTGGTTCCCAGTCTGGACCGACACCAGGCTTCCGGCTAAGTACTGAACCCTTATCATGTGAAGAAACGTATGGACTCGGGAGATCTCACTCAACCAGATTGATTAGATACCTGACAAACCTGACCAATTGGCCAGATCTAAATTAAAGTTGGTTGCATCGTGCCAACATCTCTTCATAAAGACTACCCAGGCAATGTAACATCAAGAGTGGGGTCATCAGGGGCGCCTAACGTTACTCGGAGTAGTGCGCCGGCAGAAATGCTTTCTCGTGATCAGGCCAATCCAAATGTGCTGTGGAGGTGCGCACGAGTAAAGACTCGTTAAATACGAAGGATATATTAATATTAATAGTAGGTCCATCAAAGTACTTTAGTCTTTGGGGGCCAAACTGTCCGTGGATTCCTCCGTCGAGTGCCGCGTCGATTGCTCCGTCGATTGCTCCGTCACTCTGCAAGATAGTCGGGGCGTAAAGTGCCCCGTGCCCCGTGTTCCGCGTGCTTCTTTCATTGTTCGACTTCGCTCCAGTTGCCCCATTTCTCCGTGCTGCTTCTATTAAAATATCCTGTAGTGCCGACCTAGGTAATCGGCCCTAAGACGTTGCGGAGTTGCAGAGCAGTAGCTTATATATGGAATTAATCTTAGATTAATCATAAATAATAGATTTCTTACAATATGGGAGAGGATTAAAAAGAGAATTAGAATATTAATGGGGGTAAAGACCCAAAATCACATAACCATAATAGGATCACGTGGCAGAGACTGCAACCCAACTATGATATTGCTACGCTAACGCTCCGCAATTACGGTATTTTACTGTCGTCGACTTGCTTACTCTGCCTATCACTGTGCTCGGGCTGTTGGCAGTACCTTTCTCTACTCGACGCTTCGTGACACTCGTCCGTTGTAAGCAAACACGCGATGAGAACATGGTATCAGAAACCCACATCTTGTGTTGATATCCAATTCCTTCGCGCGTTGTTTCGCGATCAAGTACATCGGAAGGAAAGCTGTTGGTATGCTTCACGGAGCCGATTATCGTTACGTCAACGGTTAAGCTATCCGTCAACGGTAAAATATACATATGGGTTGGACAAAGGTAAAATTAATAGTATTTTGATGGTAAACATTGTACGAGTGATACAGCGGTAGAACCAGAACCAAGACTCATCTGAGACTCGATTGGAATGCTTCTCCGGGCAAGCCTGCTTGACCCTGTCCCTATGTAGACGTCAGAATCTTCTTCCTTTTCCGGGCCGAAAAGGAAAGGAAAAGAAAAGAAAAGAAAAAAAAAAATTCATAAACTGACATCCAGCCATCCATCCAAATCGGTCGTGTTCATCAACAGCAGATCCGCCATGGAAGTGCTCATCGCCGAAGACGACCCGGGCGTGTCCGGGCGCACGAATTCCGCCCCGAATGATCCTGTTGCAGGGATATCGGCCATACAATCTGAGAAGGTCAGTCAGTCTCTACACGCCATACAGGTATTGTATTCGGAAAAACTGCAAAGGGAGAAAACATCTAGTTTGGTTACCTTCGTAAGCGTCCGAGAAGGTGAACTGGTCCAGCGGCGCAGACGCTTCAAGAGGCATTACAGCGGGTGAAGATGTAGCCGTCGTAGTGGTAGTAGTACTAGAAGCGAGCGATGATGCGTCGATTTCTTGTTTCTTGCGCAGTCCCAGCAGGAGACTCAGGTGCTCGACTGCTCGCCGGGCCTCCCGAGACACGGTACTCAAGCGAACCCAGAGAGGGTACGTGTTGCTCAGCAGATTGTGAATCCTCGTGCCGGTGTCCTGGTCCAGGGAGACGTCAGGCCGGATCTTGACGAGCTGCACATAGTAGCAGAGGATGCTGATGCCCAGGAGGAAGACCGCCTGCAGTCGTGATGACATGAACATCCATCGCACCGGATAGAGAAGCCCGTCGCGCCGCGTCTCCTCGTCCACGATCTGTTGGAATTCGAGGATCTTGATGGCAGCCTGGACGCAGGCGTTTCGGGAGTACTTGTAGTGAGCCTGGGCATAGGTTGGGGAGAGATACTTCCGGTGCAGCCAGATGGTCAGTCGCTGGATCGCCAGCTGGAGCAACACGCGGTGCATGACGATCTGCGGGGGTGCCATGAGCGACTGACTGAGAGGCTGCCACCGGAATATGGGCGGCAGCGAGGCCTCGGCCTCTTGGACCTTGCAGTCCAGCTCCATGATCTCCGTGTACGGGTGCTCCTGGGTGTCGTTGATGAGGTCGCTGACCAGTCCGGTCATCTTGTCGATCTTCGTCCTGGCCAGGCTGTAGAGCACGGGGGTGACCTCAGTCTCGGGACGTGAAGGGGGCAGCTCGACGGTATCCTCGTCAAAGTCCGTGTCCAGCAGGTTCCGGGGCTCAAGGGTATCGGACTGCTGCAGCTTCAGCAAGCGTGGCAGCGCCATCTGACTCGAAAGCCGTAGGTCCATCTGCACGATAATGGCCCATACGCGCCGCCGCATCTCGCCCTCAAAGGGGGAGAGATTGGAGAAGTTTTGGGGGTCCCGATGGTAGCCCCGACTCAGGGCGAGCTGCACAAGCATGCCCTGCACCAGCCAGATCCCAATCTCCGTGTCCTTGGATAGAAACATCTCGCTGGCGAGGTAGTTGATCAACGTTTCCAGCACGTAGTCTCCGCCCCTGGTGTACTGGCCGAGGACAAGACAGTGAATAGTCCGCTCCCGATACAGACGCACGCGGACTGCCGTTTCTGGATCTGCTGGGTCCTCCATGAACTGCTGGTACTGCGTGGAGAGGCACATGATGCTAAATAAGACGCCAATCCAGACAAAGGGCGCCTCATTCGGCTCTTGCCAGAACCTCTCATACTGTGAATTTAGGCGGCAAACATACGTCAGCAACAGAACGGAGTAGATAGACATGGGGCGATGGGAGGGAGGGCAGAAACACACACAGTAAGCGCCGTACCTCTCGGAGAAAATGGCCACGGTGAAGGATTTCCGGTACGAGACCCTGTGCATTGAAGTAGCGTGCCAGCATCCGGTCCACCACGGGCCGGGCCGGGATGGATGCAAGCAGGTCGGCCTTCGTGGCCTGGACAGGTTCGTATAGCAGACGAGGACCACGGCTGTGGAGTAGTAGTGCGTTGTCGCTGGTGGCCAGCATTCGGGCCTCCTCTTCCTCCTCGTAGTGGTCCCTCAGCTCTGAGATGCTGTCGAGCACGGCGGCCCAGTGAACGCTCCCGACGTAGTTGGCGCCATGCGAGTGTAGATGAATGCTGCCGGTGTCTGAGGGCACGGGGGACACGGCATGGTCCCTGCGACCATCATCTACCGACGCCACTGGGGTCGCAGATGCAGATGCAGATGTACCCTGCGGCGATGATGCACCAGACGTACCCTGGAAGGAACGTGCTGAATCCGGAACCAGGCCATCAGGATGCACAGCGGGCGTTTGTGACGTCTGCTGCTGCTGCTGCTGCTGCTGCTGCTGCTGCTGCATCAAGGATCGCACGAGTGTCTCGAGCTGTTGGATGCGGTCGCCGACGCTCACTTTGCCCCTGTGAGGCCCTGACCGGTAAGTGCATGAATGGCCGATTCCCCTGCTGGTGCAGGTTTTGCAAGGGAGCTGGCGATCACATCGCACTCTATTTATTAGTCAGTAGTGACAAAAAAATTCAATAAATAAATAAATAAATAAGAAAAAAAGAAAAGAATTACTTGCGACTCCTGCAAAAGGTGCATGACAGCAACGGCTTCTCTCGCCGGCGATCTCGCAGCTGCGACAAGTCCGGGGGAGGCGGATCCAGCGGGGTCTCAGACGGGGGCTGGTTCGAGAACGGGGGATTATTCATCGATGGAGACTTTGATATAGGACCTTGGCTCGTTCAGAAGGAAGAACAACAAGAATGCCCAATACTTCTGACAATCCGGGGCAAAAGAGACATGGACGGAGCAGTCGACGGAGCAATCAACGGAGTAAAACGGGAGAGAATGTAAATTCGGAGTTCCATACATTTTTGGCATTGGTGAAACTCGGCCACGTTAATTGATTACCACCGACTGTCGGCCCGCTTGAACACTTGAAGCCGAAAATCAAAAGATCAAAAGGAGCGGAGCAAATCCGGGGCAACTTGGTCCGCTGAATAGACCGAAAAACAGGGCGTGTGCTTTTAGATCAAAGAAAATGGAATATAATTCAAAAGGGGATTCCCTTTCCCAGGATGAATGGCAAACTACCGTACACTACACACTACACAACTGACTAAAAATGTCCACCAACGACGATCACGAAACAATGACCATGGTCGAGGTCGATGCTGCTGCCATGGAGAAGGACGTGGATATCGACAGGACTTCGGATGAGCATGAGACGGTGAATAATGCAGAGAAAGATGCACAGAAAGACGTGGAGAAGGGCGCTCCCGCCGGAAGCGAGAACGAGAACGAGACGGCAGCAGACCCGAACATCGTCGACTGGGACGGTCCTGACGACCCTGCCAATCCTCGCAACTGGTCCAAGGCATACAAGTTGACCAACGTGGTGCTCGTCAGTCTGGCAGTTCTGTACACCAACCTGGCCACGACCGTGTTCGCCCCCGGTGCCAACGTGATGCAGCGCGAGTTCGGCTTCAAGAGCGACACCGTCGAGATCCTCACCATCACCATGGCGTCTCTGGGTTTCGCCCTGGGCCAGCTGTTCGTCCCGTCGCTGTCCGAAGTCTTCGGCCGGGTGCCGGTCTACCGTGCGAGTTCTGTCTTTTACCTGGGATTTACTGCTGGCTGTGCGCGCAGTACCAATGTCGCCGAGTTTCTTGTCTTCCGCTTGTGCACCGGCATCGCTGCTGCTTCCTATATATCGACGGGGGGTGGAACGGTTGCTGATCTTCTGCCGAAAGAGGAGAGAGGTCTTGCGATGGCTCTATTTACTGCTGGGCCCCTCTTTGGTCCTGTATGTTTTTTGCCTGGGTCCGGTCGAAGAGAAACCAAGCTGACGAGAGTGTGCAGGTTATCGGCCCTATCATAGGAGGATTCGTTACTGAGAACTTGAGCTGGAGATGGTCCTTCTATCTCATCCTAATGATGGTAAGCATGTCATGTCTCTTATTTGTCCGTATCAGCCGGAGCTGACAATATGCTGTAAACCAGGCCGGCGCCGTCACCATTGCCTCCTTCATCTTCATGCGCGAGACGAGCGCTGTCACCATCCTCCGACGCAAAGCCGCTCGTCTCGCGAAAGAAACAGGCAATCCGAATCTGCGCGCTGCAGGTGACAAACAGACCCCGATCCCCCATCTCGTTCTTCACACCATCATCCGCCCCGTCAAGTTCCTGATCATGTCGCCCATCCTCTGCCTGATCGCCCTCTACATCGCCTTCAACTTCGGCGTGACCATGCTCCTCTTCGCCACCTTTCCCACTGTGTTCGAGGAGACCTACCACTGGAGCGTGGGCATTTCCGGCCTGGCGTACATCGGCATCGGCGTCGGCTGCGCCATCGGGATCTTCATCTTCGGCAAGTTCAGCGATCGCGTGCTGCGTGGTAACGGGGGCCCGTCCAATCCAGAGCGCCGGTTGATCCTGATGATGTATGTCTCTCCGCTACTCCCCATCGGCCTTTTCATCTACGCGTGGACGACCGAGTATAAGGTGCACTGGATTGTGCCACTGATCGGCACTGCCATCGGTGGGCCGGGCGTGGTTGTGATTACTTCCTCGTCACAGACGTATATCATCGATATCTTCGGACCCCAGGCAGCTGCCTCTGCTATGGCTGGTATCAATTTGCTGCGTAATCTGCTGGGTGCTTTTCTGCCACTTGCTGCTCCGCCTCTCTACTCCAATCTGCACATGGGATGGGGAAATAGTGTGTTGGCCTTTATTGCTATGGCGTTTATTCCTGTGCCGTTCTGGTTTTACTGCCATGGACGATGGCTGCGTGAAAAGTTTCCTGTTAGGCTTTGAGTTTCCTTTTTAATAATTTTTCTATACGAGAGGATAATCGATCAGATAGAACTCTGTTTACTGTTCTTAATAGATGAATACACCCCACTCAAGTTCTATCTATCTATTCAGTAGTCTTCAATCGCATGATGGAAATGTAGAGATTAGAAGAGGGTCCAGCGGAATGTGGGTTTTATATAGTGATCTGTACGGGGAATATACTGTGGCATACTTATTGACAGCAGATATATATATAAATTGACAGCGAGATCTCCAACTCTGTACTATTTACTTACAAGTGCCCGAATTATATATATATCTACGTCGTTATAACACGGTGGATAGACTCCGCAACATATTCAACATTATCCCTCGTCACTGAAGCCATTGTTAGCTTAGATCAAAACAGAAAAAGAAAGAAACCGTGACCTACATCCTGTCACTGAAAGTCTCCCCGTGGGAAAAAGATAGATATGGAATGTATCTTTGAGCGTCGCCACCTGCTCCGGAGACAGTCCTAGCATGGAGAACATGCCGATCTTTTTTTGCACCTATTAGCGATATCATGCTCAATGCATGCTCGAAGAAGACATGAAACACTCACATCAGTCAAAAGATGACCCCAATTTCCCGGGTGTATTTCTCCTCGTCAACCCCTCGTACAGTCGACGCCGCATCTCTCTCAACCGACCGCTCATAGTCTTCAAGTCCTCGTGCCATTGCTCCTTCAATTCACGGCTTTGAATGATTGTCGCAACAACTCTCGCACCAAAGCATGGAGCGGACGTAATCTCCGCGCGTGAGATCTTCTTCAGTACCGCTTCTACTTTTGCTGCGCTGGAATGGTTCCGGGTGACGATGTGCAGGGCACCGATTCGCTCTCCGTACAGACCGAAGTTCTTGGAGAAAGACTGTGCTACCGCGAACTCGAGCGTGCCGTTTGAGTATGTCGTGAAGTGGCGGATCGCCCAGGCGTCGTTGTCGGCGTCTCCTGTTGC